GGATTCTTGGAAGCAGTAATGCATGTATGTATTCATTTGAGAAAAGTGTGAAGGTAAGAAAGATCTGAAGGAGCATACACAAAAATGCCAGTGATAATCCTGGGGTAGGAGTGGAGGTGAAATTGTGGGTATTTTTCTTTTTTTGTTACATATGCATTAAATTTTGTAAGAGTTTATGTGACATATGTAGTCAGCAGACACACACACACACACACACACACACACACACAAGCAGCCAGGTAGCCTTACTTGAGGGCTCTATCACTGCTCAGCATCCTCAGAGGTGGCACAGGGCAAGCACAGGGGTAGTGGCGGGTGTCCCTCAGCGTGTCAGCAAAAATCAAACTCTATCTTCATGGGACACACGTGCTGAGGCTCACCTGGATATATGAACCCCTGAGTTTTCTTCCCAAACTGTGCTCTATACTCATTTGGGGGGTGGGGTGGCGGGAGAGGGTATAAGGTATTTAACAGATGTTCAAGAGTCCGCCTGAGACGCAGGAGAATTGGGGCCACGTCCCACCAAAGGAAGATAATAGCTCGCCTCCCTGTACTACCAGGTTGTTGGGAGAATCAGACAAGGTTGTGGATGCAGAAATGACTTTCCAAACAAAAGGGAACACAGAGCAACTGATCTCTCTATTCTCTGTCCAGCAGGGATGACAGAAGTTTGTGGGCAGTGAGGACAGTCCCTGAGCCCTCCTGGCGGTACAGAGCTCCTGAGGCAGTAGGGAGAACTGATGAGAGGGACAAAGTGGATGACCCTTCAAGTAAGTAGGCACAGCGCTTCCAGGGCTGACGGTGGGGGGTCTGCACTCCCTCCTTTCTTGCCAGCAGGCAGCCAGTGAGCCCTGCCAGCAGGGAAGAGTGCCACAGCAGGTTCCCTAGAAGACGGCTCCCCAGCCCCCAGCAGCATCTCGGTTCCAAGCTGAGTGGTGCATGCAAGGCAGACGTGCGCAGTGCAGTGAGCCGGCTGCATGTGACTGCAGAATGTCTGTGGCTGCAGAACTTGCTGGAGGACACAGCCAGACTCTCACAGGTCAGGCCTGGTCAGGGAACAGCGGTCACGGCTCCCAGCCTACCTGGCACTCAGCTCCCCTCGCCCACCCCCTCCCTGACCATGGACATTCTGGCTGAGAGTCTGGATTTCTGTGCAGAGAAACTACAGAAGCCAATCTGGTTTTGTACAGGTCAGATGAATCATCCTCCAACTTATTCCCCCCAACTGATCCGCTTTCAGATGTCTTAGCCATCCATCCACCACAGCAAAGCGCCCTGTGAATCACAGGCAGGTGGCAGGCAAGGCTCCGTTTGCTCACCGGCTCACAGACAGGGGGTGGGGGTTGGGGGTTCATGAGGTCAGATCAACACATTTGTTTCCCAGAGAAGGGGTTGGGGAAGAGATGGGGCTTCTCCCTTCATCCTGACCAAGAGAAAGAAAACTGGGTACAGGGACGCCTGGGTGGCTCAGAGGTTGAGCATCTGCCTTTAGCTTGGGGTGTGATCCCGGAGTCCCGGAATCGAGGCCCACATCGAGCTCCCTGCATGGAGCCTGCTTCTCCCCCTGCCTGTGTCTCTGCCTCTCTGTGTCTCTCATGAATAAATAAAATCTTTTTAAAAAGACTGTGTACAAAACTCCTTTGGGCTATATGCATTTCCCATTTTACACCATTCATCTATTTGGTCTCAAAGTACTTTACAAAAATAAGCTGAGGGAGGCTTCAGGTAGAAAGAGGTGTATGGCTGCCTGCCTTGCTCAGAGAGGTCCCTGCTCCTCTCGCTCACTCTGCTGTAGCCACATCGGCCTTCTGGCCCGTCCTCAAACCTGCCAGATACGCTCTCAGCTCTGGGCCTGTGCACCTGCCATTCCCTCTGTCCGGAATGCTCTTCCCCCAAATATCTTCATGGTCACTCCCTCATCTTCTTCTGACCTTTACTCAAATATCAACTTCTTGGGGGGACTTCTCTAAGCAACTGATCTGCGCCTACAGCTCCCATCTTCAGTAGCTCTGCATCCACTTTCCTGACTTAATTTTTCTCCATAGCATTTAACTTCACTTGACCTTCTGTCTACTTTACTGTTTATCTTATTTATTGCCCTTCTCCATCCCTTACAATGTAAGCCGCCCCTGAGGGTAGGGGTTCAGTCTGCTTTGCTCACTGCTGCGTTCTCTGTGCCTGGTACAGCATCTGTACATTGTAGGTGCTCGATAAATGGCTGTCACTGATGCTGTGATTTGCTTTGCTAACCTCCAGCCCCCTGGCTCCTCGGCCCTTATACCTATGGGTGAGCAGAACCACAGGAAAGGTAAAGGAATGGAGGAGAGAGGTGAAGAAAGGAAAGTATTGGGAAGTACGGACACATATGTGTGTGGAAAGATGGTAAGGAGCAAAGTGAAGGTCAGGAGATTTCTGATTAAGTAACAGAGGACTTGCCCAGGAAGAACCACAGGGCAGAGACTCTAAAGAATGTCCAGGATGTCACCTGAACAAAAACAGTTGATGCTCAGGCAGTAGACCTGGGGTTTGGCTGCAGCCAGGGTTTTGGGCCCCTGCATGTCTCTTGCTATAGGGCCTTCCTCTGTAGGCCAAGGAGCTGTAGACAGCTGGCCTGGAAACAGGAGGAAGAAACCAGGGAGGGAAAGAAGAGAGAGAAGGTGGGATAAGGCCAAGTAATGGACCACGTGAATGATCCAGGGGAGTCTGGGTGACAGACTGCTGGGCAATGGAAGGGACCAAAGGTGAGAGGCCACGGGAAGTTCAGTGACAGATAAGGGAGCAGACTGGAAGGGCAACAAAGAGACAGTAGCCTGGAGGAAGGGCAGAGATAGAAGCAAGGACATTGCTATTACACATTACATGGAACCAGACACACTCATGTGCCCTGGGGACGGAGGCATCACTATTGCTCCTGCCACCTGCCTGCCACGTGCCTCTTTCTTTCTTTGTTTTTTTTTAAGTTTTGTGTTTTTATTATCCTTAACTTCTTTAAGTTTACTTATTTTTTTAGTAATCTCTACAGTCAACATGGGGCTCAAACTCATTACCCTGAGATTAAGAGTCATTGCTCCTCTGACTGAGCCAGCCAGGTGCCCTAATCCTGAAGTTCTTTTTTTTAAAAAAATATTTTATTTATTTATTCATGAGAGAGAGAGAAGCAGAGACACAGGCAGAGGGAGAAGCAGGCTCCATGCAGGGAGCCCAACGTGGGACTTGATCCGGGGTCTCCAGATCAGGCCCTGGTCTGAAGGCAGCGCTAAACCACTGTGCCACCGGGGGCTACCCTATCCTGAAGTTCTGAATTCTCATGTTTTTTCCCAAGGATGGATAGAAATTATTATACATATATGTGTATAAATATATAAAAATATACCATAAAATATACTTATAAATTTGGAAACTTTTAATATTTTGGTCACATTTAGGAGGATTACATTATAGTGTCTTTCCCTTGAATTTGGTAATAAGGTCAGAAAAAGTTACTCTCTTAAATGGAATCCATCAAAATCAATAAAGAACAGATGCTGTTAGCCACTTGCCAAATAATTCAAATTAAGAGGCAATTGGGCAGCCCCTGTGGCCCAGCAGTTGCACTGGCTCCTCCCCTCTCTCAAATAAATAAGTAAAATCTTTTTAAAAAGAGAGTGAGCACCAGCAAGAGGAAGGGGCAGAGGGAGAGGGAGAAGCAAACTCCCTGATGAGCAGGGAGCCCTACGTGGAGCTTGATCTTAGGACCCTGGGATCATGACTTGAGCTGATGGCCCAACTGACAGGGCCACCCAAGTACTCCAGAGAAAATAGGTTTTGAGACTAGAGTTTCTCAGTCTAATCAAGGTGATCCAGTAGGACATATCTTCAGAAGGGGATGTGTTTAATGCAAACGAAGTTGTAAGTTAATCCAATCATTTAATATATCCAATCTGACGATCTGAAGTATATTGTATGGAGTCTGGTTAAAGGAAGGCCAAGAAACAAGAATTTTTAGGGCACATCCAGCTGATTGGATGATTGGATGAAAGGAGATTCTTCTCTGATTTGAAAGCCCTGATCGTGATTTTCTAGACATTTTGATTTGGAGAATGGAAACAAATCCAGCTACCCTAGCTAAATGATAATGTTTCTTAAAAACATCTAATTGCCTTTGTTCTAAATCTTTGCTTACTAAGCTAACTTGTGATCCATATGTGTCTGTAAGAAGGCCACTTGGAAGGAATGCCCACCACAAAGGTTCTAAGCTAAGAACCACATCTGTAATCTGGCCAGAGACAAACATCCTGTTGTTAATTGGCAAATAGGCATGCTTGTACATAGCTCCTTTGGGTACCTGTGAGTTTTCGGAAATTGTGTTTTGTTGCCCTAGGCCTGGTTACCCCAGAGAGTGGAGACAGAATTCTGTACCGAACCCTGCAATGCTAAGGATTGGTCAAGCAGCTGTGTTAGCCTTGTAAAGAAGTTGACAACAGGGAAGGCTTGTCTGAGGCAGTCAGCCTATTTCTATTTTTTGACCTCTTTCTCTCTCTTTTAGAAGATTTTATTTATTTATTTGAGAGAGAGAGAGAGAGAGAACAAGGAGGAGGAGGGGCAGAGAGAGAAGACTGCCCACTGAGCATGGAGTCTGATCCAGGGCTCCATCCCAGGACCCTGAGATCATGACCTGAGCCGAAGGCAGATGCTTAACCAACTGAGCCACTGAGGCACCCCTCTGTCTTCTCTTTTAGCTGCAATCAAAATTCAGAGGCCAAACTATAAAGAAAGAGGAGCCCATGGTGCTATATATGATAGGATTTCAATAAACTTAGCATCAGGTTACCATTATACTACACACTTTTCAGTGCTCCTTCCATTAACCCATTGTCTACCATTCCTCCCTAAAGGAGCAGAGAACTCTCTCATCTGAGGTGTTTATGGCTCTTCTGTCCTATAATCGGGATGACTTAATGAAAATAGTAGCAGCAGAGGGAGCTAAGAAAATGACCCAGGAGGACAAACACAGGGCTTACCCTTCATCTCTGGAAGATTCAACCAGCTTGACTCTCTTTTCCAGAGATCAAATCCTCCTCAATGCCACAGCTTTCCATCTCAATAGGAGAAGACCAGATTCAGAGCGTTATTCTTTCTAGCCAAAATGATTTTATTCCATTTTGCATGTTCTGGTAAGTTTGCTTCCCCTTCCTCCCCTCCAGATGCATCTCCGTACTCTGATATGCCTCATGAGGGGCCAAGGATGACCAGCTCTGTCTGCTCATTAGCACAAGGAAGAATCATCTCACCATGGAAGGTATGTGCACATGTGCCACGCAGGAGGGTGGTCAACCTCTTCAGCTCAAGTCACAATAAAAGAACGGTCAATTAGTCAAATTCTACCAGCTGAGTTAAAAAATATACTCCCATCAAGTAGACTTCCTTCTCTAAATGCTACAGGACAGTGAAAAATGTGCAGATAAGTGAGATTTGTCATCTTTTTTCTTCTAATAACATAAGCTTCAGGCTGGACGCAGGATGGCTAAATAGATGGTTTAGGAAGGTCAGCCTGAAGACACAAGTGACCAGAGACCCAAAGCCATCCAGGGTCAGCCACATTGCCAGCACCCAAGAGGCGGTGGAGCCACCTGCTGGAAGGTTTGGGCATCGCTCTGCCTGCTGGTCCTCTGCCTCCTTGATGGCCTTTGAACCAGGTCTATGGCAGGACCACAATCTTTTTCTCCAGCTTCTGTGGTGGGAAGAGGAAATTTCTCATAATCTCATCCAGCTCTTCAAGGGCCAGCTGGGCATGGAGCCTGGCCACGTCATCAGGCTCCAAACGTACCACGTGTTTCAGCAGGTGGTAGAGATCCTTGAGGACATCCCTCAGCACCTGTATGAGAGAGACACTGTCATGATTAGGTGTCTGCTGTGCCAAAATTTCTCAGAAAAACCCATCCACCTTCTTCAGCCTGAAAAGTTCTGTGATGAAACTCACAGGCTCCCTGAAGAAGATTCTGAATGACTTTCTCAGATGGAAGGAGGGGTAGCTGTACTGAGATAGACTTTCTTTGGGTTTCTCATGACCCTTGACACCAAACTATACCAGCCACGGGGGCTGCTACTCCTTTATCCCCAGGCCAAAGTATAGATCCCAGGCCCCTTCCTTCAGTCCCAAAGCATGGCATAGACCTCAGGACCACAGAGAGATCCTAATGCCAGATAGGGTTACTCCTAGAGCATAATTACCAGCATCTTCCTCTCCAGCTCCCATCTGTGGACACCCATCTGCTGAAATCTATCTTATTAGGAGACTCAGAAGGCTACCTATCTCTTCAGCAAGCATGCCTTTCCCTGCCACTGCTTTAAAAATTTTCCACCCCAGTTCCATCTCCATGCCCTTCCTTAAGTCACTCTAATTTTTTTTTTCAATTGCAACGTTGCAACAGGAAACAAGGGAGGGCTCTGTAAGATAGAGCCGCACCCATCTTTCACGTCTGATGCTCTCATCTTAGGCTCTGGTATGGAACTGGGAGGGTGCCAAAGCACCTACTCCCAGGAGCTCCTAATTTCCTCCAAAATCCACCTGGCTCTGGAGTTACAACTTTTAGCAGGAAACAGGTTTCAAAAGAACAGGGAAACTCAGAGTAAGAGGCCTCAGGGATCAGCTGGCCAAACTGGAGACTGAAGACACCAGGTTGTAGGGGGTCACGTGACTTATCTGTGGCTTCTTGGGAAATTTCTTCTGGTCTAGGGCTCTTTGCCTCAAAAACTACTATTTTTGGATCAGGTACCATATTAGGTATTTTTCATATATTATCCAATTTTTATGCCAGTCATATACTTATTAGCCCCATTTTACAGATGAGAACATAGATCAGAGGGTTATATAACATCCCAAGATTACACAGGGAAAAAATGGGGGAGCCAGATTTTAAACATCCAGAGCCAAAGTCCTTATTTATTTTTATTTATTTTTAAAAGATTTTATTTATTTATTTATTCATGAAAGACACAAAGAGAGAGAGGCAGAGACAGGCAGAGGGAGAAGCAGGCGCCATGCAGGGAGCCCAATGTGGGACACAATCCCAGGACTCCAGGATCACGCCCTGGGCCAAAGGCAGGCGCTAAACTGCTGAGCCACCCAGGGATCCCTTATTTATTTTTTTAAAGATCTTTTTTTTTAAAAAAAGATTTTATTTTATTTATTCATGAGAGATGAGAGACAGAGACACAGGCAGAGGCAGAGGGAGAAGCAGGCTCCAGGCAGGGAGCCCGACGTGGGACTCGATCCCGGGACCCCAGCATCACGCCCCGGGTCGAAGGCAGGTGCTAAACAGCTGAGCCACCCAGGGATCCCCTATTTTTTTAAAGATCTTATTTATTTATTCATGAGACACACACAGAGAGAGGCAGATACATAGACAGAGAGAGAAGTAGGCTCCACACAGGAGCCCGATGCGGGACTCGATACTGGGACTCCAGGATCACGCCCTGGGCGGAAGGCAGGTGTTCAACTGCTGAGCCATCCAGGCGTCTCTCTTATTTATTTTTACTGAAAAGGTAATACAGTACAAAAAAGTACATATTAAAAAAGAAGTCTCGGGGGTGCCTGGGTGCCTCAGTCGGTGAAGGGTCCAACTCTTGATCTTAGCTCAGGTCTTGATTTCAGGGTCATGAGTTCAAGCCCCACACTGGACTCCACACTGGGTGTAAAGCCTACTTAAAAAAAAAAGTCTCTCTTCTACTCCAGTCTCTTAGTCTCCTTTCTCAGAGGATATCACACTTAATGGTGAGAAATGTTCTATGTGTTTGTAAGCATATACATATATGTGCCTCCCCCCCACCCTTTTTAAATCCACAGAATTATATTTTTTGCTGTTATGTGCCATCATTCCCACTGACTTACTCTATTTTGAAGATCTTTTGTATAATTGGTACACATAGAAATACTTTTTTAAAAAAATGTTTTATTTGTTTATTCATGAGAGACACACACCGAGAGAGGCAGAGACACAGGCAGAGGAAGAAGCAGGCTCCCTGCAAGGAGCCCGATGTGGGATTCGATCCCAGAACTCCGGGATCACACCCTGAGCGTGAAGGCAGACGCTCAACCACTGAGCCACCCAGGCATCCCCCAGAAATACTTTTTAAAAAAATTGGCTGCATAGGGCTAATGCCACACAATTTATTTATCTGCCAATGAAACTCATTTTTAAAAAATCTTTTGATATTGCAAATACTGCTGCAATAAACACTCTACTCCCTAAGTCATTGCAGACACGAACAAGTATATCTACAGGACAAATATCTAGAAATGGAATCGCTGGGTCAAAAGGTAACACACATACAAAATTTTGATAGATGTGGCCAGAGAGTTGCGATAATCTACAATTCTATGTGACACTATATTCTTATCACTGCTACATACGTACTGTAAATTGTTTATCTCTGCTTATCCACCAAGTGAAAAATAGCATAGGGCTGTTTTAAATTTGCATATTTCTAATAAATACATAAACTATATATTTTTCTAAGTGTAACTGAAATTTACCATACTGATTTGTAAGAGCTCTTTGTATATAAAAAAAAGGTCTATCATTCATAAGTTGCAAATATTGTTTGTCATAGTTAGCTTTGTGAAATTTTTTTCCAGTAGAGAAATCTGCATTTTTGATGTAGTTAAATTTATCAATTTTTCCTTTATGGTTTCTGGATTTTGTATTTTGCTTAGAAGAGGGCCTATAATATCAACCACTATCCTATGCTGTATTGTCTTTATTTATTAATAATGCCACCTGACATGCATCAAGTTGGGTCTATTTCACTACATGCAAGCATCTCTGACAATAATTGGTTTAAATGGTCTTTAAAATTTTTTCTCACCACTTTATTTTTTAAGGATTCATGGATTGATTGATTGACTTATAAATGTAGGCCTCATGGGGCTTGAAATCGTGACCCTGAGAGTAAGAGTCACATGCTCTACTGACTGAGCCAACCAGGCACTCCTCTCAGTACCTTGGAATGTCAAGCATTGGCTGTATCCTGAAGTTTATGCCAATGTGTAATTTCCAAAAATGGAGAAAGATCAGAAAAAATGGAATAGGAGCATGTAGACATTCATCCATTTTTTCACTTTTGTGGCTTTTCATAGAAGCCATGTAATAAATATATATAGTAGCTTATGTGCTCTAAACATGGACTGTCTTTAAAAAATATATATTAAAAAACTGGCTGCTGGGGCACCTGGGTAGTGGTTGAGCATCTGCCTTTGGCTTGGGTTATGATCCTGGGGTCCAGGGATCAGGTCCCACATTGGGCTTGAGAAGTAGGGAGCCTGCTTCTCCCTCCGCCTATGTCTCTGCCTCTCTCTCTGTGTCTCTTATGAATAAATAAATAAAATCTTTCAAAAAAGAAAGCACCTGGTTGTCTCTAGGGAAGGTAACTGGAGAGGGATATGAGGGAATTATGTACTCTTGTACTTTTTAATATTGTATTTTATGAATATATTACCTACTACAGAATAAATGAGCTTTTTGCTTGACTGAATTAACTACTAGGCAAAGGTTTTCCATAACACCATTTAACAGGTAGAAGAGGTATAGAACCTGACTTTAAAGGTTTACTGTCTGATAGGGAAGATAAGTCATACACATAAATAAAGAATACAAAACAAAATACAGTAAGTGTCCTAACAGAGCACAGAAAGAGTATAAAGAGAGGTTATAGGAAACAGAGGTCACATTTTAGGAAAAGGAAGTGAACTGGAGATGGTGAACAGAAATGATAGGAAATGTACTGTAATGATACAGTCTGAACTATGTGGGTCTATTTATATGTGATATTTTTGATACAGTACTATAAATATATCTTCTCTTCATTATCATTTTCTTACTAACATTTTCTTTATTCTAACGTACTTTACTGTAAGGAGACAGTATATAATATATATGACATATAGAATATATATTAATAGACTGTTTACATTATCAGTAAGGCTTCTGGTCAACAGTCAGCTATCAGTAGTTAAGTCTCTAGGGAGTCAAAAGCTACATGAGGAGTTCTGACTGCACCAGGGTGGGGGTGGGGTGTGGGCATCCCTAACCGTTGCATCATTCAAGGGTCAATTGTACATGCTCTGGGCTTGAAGTCCCCTGAGTTTTCCACACAAGTATGCTAACTGTGTAGCATCACATATCTTGGACTTGCTAAAGAAGAGAGAAAGAGCTTTTTCCATACATTGATATTCTTTTTAAAAATTTTTTATTTATTTATTCATGAGGGGGAGAGAGAGAGAGGAGGGGGGGGGGGGCAGAGACACAGGCAGAGGGAGAAGCAGGCTTCATGCCAGGAGCCTGATATGGGACTCGATCCCGGGTCTCCAGGATCACGCCCTGAGCTGAAGGCGGCGCTAAACCGCTGAGCCACCTGGGCTGCCCCATACATTGATATTCTTTAAGAGCATGGATGATGGGGAGTAGAAAGAAGAATGTAGGGGAGAAGGGGCATATAAAACAAGCCCCCAGGCCACTCACTAGTCTCCCTCTTGTTCCCTGTGTACCAGGTGTGCTGGTGGGGTGGGCTTTCTTTCTTTCTTTCTTTGAGCAAAGCTCCTTCCCAGTGCAAGGCCTTTGCATATGCTGTTCCCTCATCCTGGAAGACTATTTTGCTTCCTCTTCACCCAGCAACACCTACTCACCCACAGCCTAAAATACCCCTTCCTCAGGAATGCCTTCTCTAACTCATCTAGGTAAGTCTTTTTACTCTGCCTGTAGTTCTGTTTGTAACTTATATCATAGTTGTAATTTAAATATTCATTGTGTAATTAAAATTATGTTTTCCTCTCTGGATCACATATATTGTTGACACTGAAGCCTTATCTTGCCCTGT